CTGGGAAATGTATAACGTGCTCCAAACATACACCTTTAACAACCTTTTTCGAATTTCTAAATTAACCGTTCGCGAGCATAGAAGTGACTTCTTTATATACGTCATACAATAATTTTAATAAATTTTAATGTTATTGGTACCTAATCGTCTTGAGACAAAAATTTTTTTAATTACCGTTACAAAAAAATAAAATGACTTATGGTGTAGTTTTTAAGTTGTTTCTTTGATTTACGCTTACTAATTATGAAGTCCTGTTTGCAATATTTTTAAAAATAATCTGTTATTTATTACAAAAAAACGTACTTACTACGTCAAATAAAATAAAAAATCATAAAATTAATGTTCAAATTATTTATTAATTTAGAAATTCTTGATTCACATTCTTTTTTTCACATCGACTGAAATGTGCTGGGTGAATTCAACATAGGTACCTATATACCTACGTTTGCTTTGTTTTTGATATTCACATGAATTTATGGTCTACGTGCCGTCGGTCACGTTTGGATACTTTTGGTCACCAGAAATGTTAAAAACACCCAAAATAGTGACGCATTAAGTGGGTATTGTCATTACATTGTCCTCTTTAAAGCCTAAAGGCCATTGACGTAGGCACCGTACGGATATCAGATTTTTTTATCTTCATACGTGAAATACATATTATTATACAAGACAGACCACCTCATTTCCGCACACTGTGAGCACAGCAAAAATATTATAATTTCCTTTTATTTCCGAGAATTACCAAAGTAGTTCTTCAAGCTGTTTCAGTAACCTAACCATAACTCCACGACAGAAAAGAGTTTTAAAAGCAAAATTTTTGGTTTTAATAATTTAAACTTAAAATGCATCGGTATATCTGGGCCTAGACAAACCCACCCTGTTGGTGGCAGTAAATAAAGACAATACGGTTACCTTACGGTTAACAAGTGCAAATTAATTGAATTATTAAATTTCTTTATTTACCATGCTTACAAATATGCGGTCTACCCTTATTGTATAATAAATTATAAATTTTAGTAAAATTGTTTTGGACAACAATTTCAAGACCCTCACTGACAAATTATCTAAGGACCACGGGTAATTATTTATAATTATGATGCCACTTATTTTTTTTGTCATTTATGATTATATTTTGAATAAAATTATTCGAGGTCTCTTTTTAAATTTTGGACCATGACCTCACTTCACTAAAGTGTCTCTGGTGGCCAGTCTCTTTAATCTACACTGCAGTGTAAAGCTAAAGGGTAAATCTGTGAATGTGTACGTAGTAGTCAGGAAGAGACAGATAGGAGAGACGAAATGAAGACTGCTGTGAAGTGTAGAAACATCCTATTCAAGTTGAAGAACTGATTGTGATAATCTCTAAATGGTAAATCAAAATTTGTTTGGAGCCAAATGGACGAGTACAAATATGGTTATCAATGATACGATTGGTATTTATGTACTATTTATACAACATAAACTTTGAGATAATGTTTCTATACATATACATACATTAATACGATATGTATACCCACTACATGCATACGTATATACATATATATATATA